CCTCAATCGCGAAAAGCGAAAACCAACGCTGGCGTTTCTTTTGGCTCTTGAGCAAAAAGTGTCGCAATCCGAGATTCGATTGGTTCGTCGCAAAGATCAGCAGAAGAGCTCTGGACCGACGCCACGAAAACCCGCGCTGCTGCTCGGCTACCAACAAACTTCGGCCTGCACACATCAAGATCTAAATTTGTCCGAAGTTGCTTAATTCAAACACATCGACGTGTGCTGTCACAGCAGAGTAGGGCACGGTGGTGTACTGTACTGTACCGTACATGTAGAGTCGTGACACTTTGGACCGCTATTCAGCTGCCCGCGGGGTGCCCGAATTCAAAGCGTCTACAGTAGCTTCAATCCAACGCCCGTCGCCAGAGCAAAAGACCCGGACCCACGCAACGCAGAACAGAACGCGCTTCGAAGTGGCGAGCCCTCTTCATCATAGACACCGCCTGTCCCTTGCTTTTCGAGAAGCGAAAGTTCAAGCCGGCTCACTACCATCACCACCCTGCCTTGCCCCCGCAGTACTTTCCTGTTGTGTTTTTGCCTGGCTGCAGTCAACTTGCTCTGCAGGGCTAGGTCAGACGAATCGGGCAAGCCGGATTCTTGCTCCGCGTTCGCAAAAGCTTTCGCGCTCAAAATGTCCTACATTGTCCTCTTCGAACTGCCCACTCATTCATCAGGAACGGGTACTGGCCCCTTGTTCTCGCCCAACACATGGACCACGCGTTTGACACTTCTACACATGAACCTCCCGTTTCGCGTCGTAGAGCTAGACGGCCCTTCTCTTCGGCATGAATATTTCACTCGAGTATTCGGAAAGAGGCCTCTGGTGCCAATGATCGAAGTACCCGATGATCAGACTTGCGCAGATTTACAAGAACAAGCCCTCGCTGCTTCATCCTCCGCATCTCAAGGTCACGAGAACGGAAGCGTGATTGGTGGGCCGGAGTTTCTCAAAAATCGACCTGGACCACAAGAGAGGGGCGGTAGACTGGTGATGGATACGATGATCATAGCTCGCACGCTTCACGACATCTTCCCCAAGCTACATTCGCCTTTCGTCCCGGAACGATCAGCGAGCGAGGCGTCCATATCGGACCTCAGAGCGGGAGCTAATTGGGCTCATTTGCTCAAGCGCGGCCTGGGCAACAGCGAATCGAGATGGAGCTGGCACTTTGAGTTGCTTGCTCCTGCCATTGCTGCGAACATGGATCCCAGGGTCCGCACCTTTTTCAAGAGCGACGAAAAGAACGGCAAAGGTGGCTGGCAGAAGTTGTTGGCTCTCGATAGAGGTACGTTGCAGCTGCAAATTTTTCCACCCCCGGAAAAAAGGTGCGGCCACTATACTTGGCTGCACTGCACTGTCACTGACGGGGTGCTTCCCATCGTCTCCGTATACCGCTACTGCAGGTGAACTGCTCGCCAGAACACGCCGGTCTTTGCGACCAATCTCGCATCACTTCAGCAATCCCGTTCCGTTCAGCGATGACTCTGCACCACCTCTTTTCCTCCAGTCGCCTACTCGCCCCGGACTTTCCGACGCCGTCATCTTTGGACGCTACGCCATGAGCGCGGCAACTGACTCGACGCTTTCGAAAGCTATCTGGGCCGAAGATCCGAAGGTGGCCAGAGAATGGTTTGCTGCGAACAGACGCCCCGAGGATGCAGAGCTTCCTGTCGTTGAGGGTGAATGGGACGGGGACATCACCTTGCCAGGGCTACAGGGCTGGATAGACCGGGTAAGTGCAGGACCTTTCCAACCACCTGGAGCGCTGTAGGCTTACAGATCTCCGCTTGTTGACCGATCTCTCCTTGCGATCACGGCGATTCTTCTCTTCAGATGATGGATTGGTCGGGTGGCCACGCGCGGAGTCAATTGTCTCAAGAGCAAAGACCTCGAGCGAAACTGCAAGCGTCTGATTTTGAGTGATATCCGACGAAGGGCAGCCACGCGCCGCTCAGAGCGCCACCCCGCGATGCCCTTAGCGTAGCTCAGTCTTGAGTAGTCGCATCAGTGAGAGGCTGAGGGAGGATTGAGGCTAGCTCCTTCCTCAACCAGCGCACATCGACATTAGCGCCCTCTCCAGTAATGCTGCCGACGGCATCGATCGTAGGCGCATTTTTCCGCCTGCGATAATCTTGAGGCGGAACTTCTCGAGAGAGACGCTCAGCATTGCGACGTCTCTGGTCCATCAAGACGCTCCAGGACTCGCTCGTGTTTCCAATAGGCACAAATGGTCGATCGAAATCTTGCACCTGCACTTCGGGCTCCTCTTTGCCAGGTATCAATGTAGAAACCGCTTCATCTGTTTGCTGGCTTTGCGCCCCGAACGAGATATCTTTGCATTGCTCAATGGTGGCTACGCTGGCGCTTGAATGTAGGCGCAGCAGAATTGTATTGTTACTCGAAGTGTGCATCCTGAACTAATTTGGAAGAACGAGGGGATGGGATCAGCTCATGGTTCTGCTCTCGCGCCGAAGCTTCGGTCCCTATCACAAGGCTCCGGTCTGCCGCGGAGGGCAGCGTTGTGACTCACCTGACCGCATTCGACGCGAATGAAGCAATCGTGCAGATCGTGAAGCATGACAGCACCGCTGATGCGTGGGAGCAAAAGGATGCACCTGCTAAGTCGGCGCAGCTGAAGCGCCGCAAATGCGCTTTGCGTGATCTTTGGGGGCTCTTCGGGATCGTATGATGTCGCTCTCAGATCGATGAGGCAATCAGTGAGATCGAGCAGATGCAAGTCCTTTTCCTGCTCTTGAATGGAATGGGACGTTGAATGCAGGCGGAGATCAGACATGGCGATGTGCCTTCCTTGAATGGAAGAGACCCGAAGATGCGAAGTCAAAGTTTCGTCGTCCTGCTTGGCCACTTTTGACGATGAGGGGGCCATTGGCCGAACTCCTGAATCCTCGTCGGTAAGCTGCGTCGCAACAGCATTCGCGTGAGATTCCGGCGATGCGCTTTTTGAATGGAGCATGGAGCCTGTCGTAGGTGCAGGCTTTGCTTTGCGTCTGAACGCGAATCCTCCATTCGCTTTGTATTTGTTTGTAGCCGCTATTGCGCCCGTCTTTGGCGCATCGTGATCCGCTTCCGGGGGTATAGAGAAGGCTTGACCCGCGTGCAGATGCTTTCTTCGTGCTTCGACGCCTTCCAAAAGTCTCTTGAGAGCAGTCTGATGAGTCTCCTGATCCCTCGCGGGCAAGATGCTCGTGCTGGCTTGGAGCACAGCGCGAGCTGAGCTTGCCCTTGTCAAGATTTCAGAGAGACCTTGCACGTCTGCAACGCTCTCTGTTTGTGTCGTCAGGTCTGCCGAACCAAAGGTAGATGAGCAATGTACTGTTTTTGGTGTGAAGGCAAAAGAACAGCAAGCATACCTTGGATAATCTCGTTGAAGTCTTTGTAAAATGTTGCAGCCTGAGAAGCCGAGGCGCTCGAGGATGAGCCAAGCGAAGAGGTGGATGCCATATTGGACCCAAATCAGCGTGTTGAGTCCAAGAGGTCAGGAATCAAGTGGCTACGTCGCCGATTCGGGGCACGTCTGGGACAAAGTTTTGATGTAATGCAATGATGCGGAAGCGAGTGGATGAGTTGCAGTCACAGGATCCGTCAATGTAAGTGGGAGAGAGTAATTTCAGGAATGGCGGGATGGGTGATGTATGCATACGTGGATGCGTATATATGCTGTATGTGCTGGGAAGATGCCTGCAAGAAGCGAAGAGTGGAGGCGCCTACTCGTGCGAGAAAGCCGGCGCACCTGCACACATTTTGATTTCCCGTTAAATGCTCGTCAATCTGAATCGTGGTATTCGAATCAAGAACGCTCCGGATCGAGGTGCAGGTGTAGATGAGCTTGGTGGTCACCACGAATGGATATCCACTGCGACTTTCCGGACTTGCTTATGACTACCATTCATACCGACACACCTATTTGCGGTGATGTGCATCAGCCCTGTGCAAGTATGATGCATAATCCCTGAAGCAGGACAGGAAGCTGCACCAGCAAGCCTGTGCCATTGGGCCATCAGCTCAAGACGATGAACGATTCACAAGGACGAGAACGAGGACGGAGTGAGCCTCGCGGCAGAGGTCGAGGTCAAGCAGGAGTAGCAGGAATCCAGAGTAATCGGTCAGATGGTTCGTCTCCGTGGGCCCGGCCACAGTCGCGTGGCACAGCCACATCTCGAGGAGGTGCGCGTGGCCGAGGGAGGGGTGGCAGATCGTCGACTGTCACTTACCCCAGCAAAGGCGACAGAAGCAAATTTATGCAAAAGCGAGAATCGTATACGCGCTCTGATGATCCCTTCTTCGAGCCAGATGATGATGTTGGGGAAGCCGAGCCAAATGGTCCGCAAGATTCTTCTTCTTCTTCTGACTCGGACTTGGCCGAGGGTGAGGCATCTGGCGAGCCAAAAGTGACGCAAGCAGCAACTTCAAACTCATCACCTCAAGTCGAGCCGAATGCTTCCACATCCATCTTTGAGCGGACCTCTCTCAGCCTCTCTTCAAACCCGCTACCTTCCACGAGAGACCTATCTCGCACACTCCGACGCTTCAGCGCGCTCAGGAAGCTGGAAATGACGCGCATGCAGGCTTCTGCCGCATCGCCAAACGGATTGGAAAGCTTGCATTGGCTACAGGAAGCAACAATCGGAGCGACTACCAAGAGCGCGGGCAGTGAGGAGGAGCATGCATTTGGGCAAGAGCTCACTAGCTTCGACGTTAGTGGAAATGAGCGCCTTGGCGTCAAGGGCGGGCGCGACGCGCTCAATGGAATTGAAAGGTTGACGGCGTTGCGAGGTGAGTCGGACTATGTCAGCCAAGCTCAGAAGCAACGCGATTTTTGAATCATGTGGCTCAGATCCAGAGCTAATTGCGGAAGAGGTTTGCTGACCTATCTGTGTTCTCGTCTCCAACATGAACAGTGCTGAACCTCACCTCATGCTCCTTGGCACACGTGCCGTTCCATTTGTTGCCTCGCGCACTGCACGCTCTCATCCTCGCACAAAACAATCTCGAGGCTATCTCGATGCTTCCGCACTTTCCAAGTCTGAACACGCTGATTCTCTCTGCCAATCGACTCGCCAAGCTTCCAGCAAATCTGGCCAGCTCCTTGCCCGCTCTCAAAAAGATCAATCTCAGCGGCAACAATATTTCTGGCAACCAATTGCCGGACTTTACGAGCTGCAGCGCTTTGAAAGAGGTCAACCTGCGAGGAAATCCACTTGAGCAGCTTCCGGCGCATATGGCCAATTGGGGGTTGGGCGGGGCGGCGAAGGCGAGGAAGTTGCAATCCGCTGCGAGCTGCCTGGAACGCTCGACTGACGGGGATGGCGTGAGGATTTTGGACCTGTCCGACTGCCGTCTCGAAGACTGGGCATCGATTGAACCTCTGCTTCATGTCACCAGCGGTGCGAGCGCAGCAGCCCTTAAAACCGCCGAAGCTGGTCAGCAGCGCGCTGAGAGCGGAAAAGCTAGCAAGCGACTGAAGTATCGAGGCCTGGCGTCTCTCAGTCTGCGCGGCAACGGGGTGACGAGAATGCCGGGATACAGAGAAAGGATGATCAAGTCCGTTCCCACTTTGCGTCAACTCGATGGCACGCTAATCGAAGAGCGCAAGCCATCACGACAAAGGAAAGAAGCTTCGCCGCCTCTGGAGAAGTCTTCTACTGGCACCAAACATGAACATCGGCGCGATTCCGGGTGGGCCAGCCGTTCTGAGACAAATGCCCGTTCGGCAGCAGAGATTGATGACGAGCCGTCGGATCTCGAAGGTTCTGAAGAGGAGGCTCTGGCTCAGGAAGCTGCCAGGGATCGCGCTCGGGTGCGAAGGCCTCCTACAGAGTCTAAGCCTGAAGCGTTGACACGGACTGAGTCGAAGTCGAGAAGTACTGCAAGTGAACAGACGAAGAAGAGGAAGCGCGAAGAGCGCGAGAGACCGCGCCCTTCGTCAGCCGGCGAGAATGTACCGCAGAAACCTCGGAACGGGCCAGGACCGCGCGCTAAGAACCCTGCTTTTGAAGATCAGCGGCGCGAAGGCAGGACGCACAAGAGGGGAGCGCGAGGCAAGAAGCGCAAATCGAGCGCAGATGAGGTATCGCAGGAGCTGGCTGGGAAGAATGACAAGAACGGCGTCGATGCATCACAGAAGCGCAAACCTAGGCGCGTTGTGGAGGTGATTCATGCAGAATCTGAACGGGGTGTCACGAGCCGCTCTCGCAAAGCACCAGTTGAGGTGATGGAAGAAGGTGTTCAATCTGATGCGTCTTCGGATGACGACCGACCAACTCGCAAGCACAAAGCACATAAGCGGGCATCAGACGTCAAAGAGGTTCTGCGCTCCGCTGCTGGTCTGGATGAAGAGCGGGAAGCGGAAGCGCACGAGTACTTTCCTCATGCTTCCAGCCCAGCCAAGGCGCGAGGCAAACAGGAAAAGGCAACAATGAATGAGCGGCAGCAAATCTCCGGAAATGCAAGGGCGAAGGGCAAGCCTGCACACATTGACCCCAAGGTGCGCGACAATAGGTCGCCCAAGAGTTCAAACAAGTCAAAGGGTTCTGGCGCGTCGGCTAGCGCGCTGGAAGCTCATGATCGCCCCAACAAGCCATTACCCAATCGGCACGCAGCATCAAAAACCGACGCTAGGATGGCGAAACGGAAGCTCTCGGCTTGGGATGCTGATAGTCCGTTGGTCAATAGGAAGCAATCTTCTGCGGTCTTGCAGGCCGAGCACGAGTCTGGCGTGGCTGACAAAAAGGATCAAGGCAAGGAGAGGACATCCGTCAAAGGCGTGGTCGACCTGCGCAAAAAGAGCAAAGGCAACAAACCTCTGCCCACGCTCCCAGCTGCTGGGAAGGAGCTGGGCGCTGCGCGTTACACTCAGCAGAAGGCCTCTCTGCCGTCAAGTTCGCAGACGGATGACATGTGGGGCAGCGGCGCTGGCAGTGGCTGGTGGTAGCTCCTCTTTTGATGCAGTACCAAGAAGGGTCTGCTTCGCAACACCTTGATCGCTTAGCCAATCATGATCACTTTCTAATGACCTCAGAATGCGCAGCAGCACGAGACACGGGTCTAAGATGGCTACGAAGCGGGTCGATTTCATGCATGCAGCAGTGACATTCGAGTAGCGCAGTGTGAGGCAGTTGATGTGATGGTGAGGAGCGCTTTGTGAGAACGTGAGAGATTCGGCAACTGGAATCGACGCTTGTTGGGAACGAGGAACGTTTGCGCAACGCCGGGCCCATGGCTTGTAACTTTGGACATTGAGCTCATCGCACAGCTATCCAGTTGCCTCAAGCGACTTTGGTGCAAGAGAAGCCGCAGCTGGCGTGGCACTTGGAGTGCTGCCTGTCGGGCCGTTGAAATGCAGATGCAAAGTGAGATCCCTTGAAAGCGTCGTGAGCTCCCCGACTGCTCTCATGATGGGTTTGGGGAACGCATGCTCCACGCTGGTAGCCTTGATCTGGGTTGAAATCGAAATTACGGCCTATGAGGGGGTACGTCAAAGTCAGCGGTCCTGCCTACTGAAGCAGCCATGGCCCTCTCCTTGCATACTTACCCGAACAAAACGACTTGACTCCTCCCTCAGTCTTCTGCCATCTACGAACCCCAAGGCTGAGCCTCTCCCTCGACTGTCTGGTAACGGACTTCTCGCTTCGCCCGCTTCGCTTGCTAAGTCTTCCTCTTCGACATCCTCTGCAGCTTGCTGCACCTTATCCAAGGTTGCCTGCAACCTGCGAGTCAGCTCCGCAGAGGACATGGCCAATTCTCTAACTTCTCGCAGTCTTCGACTGCTGCTACCCGCGCTTGTCGATGCGCCGCTCGAGGAAGCTGTTTCATCTGTAGAGGACTTGCCTTCAACGGACGCTCCATCGGGGCCGCTGGCCAGCCTGCCTCTGACACGTCCCTGAGGTTCGGGCAGGCCCGGCGAGCCAGGTCCAAGACCTGCGGCTCTGACTCCTATGGATGCGAGATGCTCAAGCAGTGTAGTCCAAACAGCAGATGCGACGGAGGTCACTTCCGCGACTAGCTCGACCAACTGAGGGTCAAGAGCAGAGCCAGGGGTGGGAGTGTTGGCAGAATATCCAAGCGCGGCGGGGTACGGAGCAGACGTTACAGGAGTAGCAGGCGGAGGCGCCGTGCCTCCTGGTGCTGGTGCTGTCAAAGGTCCTCGGCCGAGAGGATAAAGCCCGCCGGCCTCGCTTGCGCTCGCGTTCGAAGGTGTGCGCTTATTCCTGCCAGCGGAGAAAGGCGAATCGCTGATCGACCTTGCGTATCCGGGGAACCGAACGGACGTTGCCGGAGCCGACATGCCTTGATTCTGAGCTTGCGGCGCAGAGCGAGGTACGCCTGGACCAGCCAGATTGGACCGCAGAGCAGGATTTGCAGTGTATGGAGGTACAATATTCGGGAACCTCTGAGACTGCGAGGGTGAAGAACCCCGCGCTTCTTTTTGCTGCTGTTGGAGCACGTCGTCTGAGGCGGGCGTGCCGAGTGAATGGAAAGGCGTAATGGAACCGGCGTTGGACGCAGCCCTTCTCCTATGCTCCTGCTGTGCTTGGCTTCGTAGCTCTGACAATTCAAAAGGCTGATCTTCAGAGAGACCATGTCCGCCCATCGTAGCACCTTGCGCCACATCGTGCGCGCTGAACGAGCCCGCATGTCGACGGCGTTGACCACGATGGCCAGCGGACGTAGGCGCGGGTCGGATCGTGTGCGACAGCTGCAGCACAGGCGATGTAGCCTCAGCGATGCTGGGCAGTGCCGATGAAGGCTGGCTGCCCAAGTGAGCAGGAAGCAGAGCAGGTGCTGACATTGGAGGTACTGCAGACTGATGTGTCGCAGGCAGGGTCGTGGGTGCCTCATCCCGAGCGAGGTATGGCAGCACAGCTTGCACATGCGGCTCCATCGTGCTCCAAGCGAGCGCCACCTCGGCGGTGCTTCCGTACAGCATCAGAAGCAATGTTCTCGTGTACCTAATATCCGCTCTCGGCAGCAAGTTTTGGAGCTGTCGCTGCAGCACGGCGACGACCTTGCTGAAGGTTCGGACGCTATCACGTGCTGCGATCAAGATGGCACGAATGACGCTCGGCTCGGGAGCACCCTTTTTGATG